GAGGAAGACCGGCTCTGAGCTAACATCTATTGCCAATCCTCCTCCTTTTTTTTCCCCAAAGCCCCAGTAGATAGTTGTATGTCATAGTTGCACATCCCTCTAGTTGCTGTATGTGGGACACGGCCTCAGCATGGCCGGAGAAGCGGTGCGTCGGTGCACACCCGGGATCCAAACCCGGGCCGCCAGCAGTAGAACGCGGACACTTAACTGCTAAGCCAGGGGGCTGGCCTGGGGGATATTTTAAAAGCGAAAAAAATGTCCAACAAAATATTCAAGATGAATGTCAGTGGCATTTAGTGTATTTTAAATGACATCTACACCCTTTTAATCTATTCCGACTTTGGTCCTAACAATATGAACTATTTAATATGATTCTTAAGAGAAAGAAAATCCATAAGCTGATATTCAGAGACATTATTTTCATTTTCTTATGTTCCCTTTCAATTTGCATTGATATATGAATATATGTTTACTTTGTTACAATCACACTGTACATACAATTCTCTATTCTTTCTTTGTTCACTTCATATTTTACCTTCTACTTTTTGCCATGTTTTATTTACTTTTCTATAATTATAGTTTTTAGAATCTAGATTGATTTTATTGATTTGTTAAACGACCATTCATTTAACCATCGCCTCAATGTTGGACACTTGGTTTCTAATTTATGCTATTATATGTACATTATATACATATATTATATATACATTATGTATACAAATTATGCTATTATATGTATATAAAGATGTTCACTGTAGTGAGCATCTTTTGCCATATAGCTTTGTAAAAAATCTCTGTTGAATATTTCTTTTTCTGGGTGTCCTACTCTTCTGCGTTCCTCACACCAATGGTTATGGCTGGTAGCAGTGCCATGACAAACCCACTTGCTGGGGGTAATGTTGTGTGGCTACTCACAGGGTGAAAGGGATGTTCTCACTCTCCGCCACAGTGCCATACAGAGAGATCTCGAAGGCCTGGTTGGTGTGTGTATCATTCTCAGTCCCAGAAAAATGTATCTTTACTTGGTAATGGAACACTATAGGGAGAAAATTGGAACAAGTGCTGATCAGTCTTTACGGAAACACCACAGCCCCCCAAAATAAGCAGGAAATTCAAAATAACAGACCATATATCACTAGTGATCAAACAGGAAGTGCTCACACACGACTATCAGTGTGGCTTTGAAAGATTTCTTCATGTCTCTACAGTGTTCACTACTAGAAAATTCAGACCTTGAATTCTACTCCCTTTCAGAGAAGTGTGGTCGTAGTGGATAGGAAGAATCCATGGGTATCTGAACCGCCAAGCAGTCCTAGAAAGTAGTCATCTTTGATGGGGTACCAGGGACATCAAATCAAGAGGTCAAACTACTAATGATACTTTCTCCATGAACTCCACCCTTCCTTAGCACCTGCACCAAGGATATTTGGTATTTGTTACTATGTCACTGTATGTGACCACGTTTCTTCATGTTTCGTAGGATGTCTGACTCTCTATCCTGTGTGTAAGCTCCTTCAGGTCAGAGAATCATTTCACCCTATTTATTCCCCCACCATCTAGCACAGAGTAGGTAAATAGCAGGCTCACAGTAAAACTTGTTTCATTGAATCATCAACGAAGCTGTAAAGACTGCCAGCTTCTAAAGTATCCTGTATTAAGGAGAGCCTCGGAAGCAGGTTCCTGAACCTCTACATCTCCTCCCTGCTCTCCCCAACTCCACCAGAAACAGAGTAGATGGGATGGGGGAGAGGTTAAGGGGATAGGAAAGGCAGAAAGCTTAAGACAGAGCTACTAAAATGTGAAGAGAAACAGAGTGTGGAGTTAAATGGAGCCCTTGCAGATGTCAGCACAGACCAGAGCAGGAGAGGCTGGGACTGGCACCGTACCCACTGAGAGCCCAGATGGATCAGTGAGTGGCAATAGCAGGATGCCTGAGGACAAGGGAGACCTGTCCAAGTCTTCAGAAGATTACGGTCTCCTCTGTACCTCACACACACTTCCTCATTCTGAAGAGTCAAAGAAACCAAGGATTTCCTTGTTGCTTAAAAGGTTTCCTTGATCTATAGGTGTTCCAAACCTCTGGGCCACCAAATGCACCTCTACAGATTCTAAGAAGGCACCTCGCAGGTGGGTGCCTCTATCACATATGTTTTGTCTTAGAAAACTGTTGTTCAATATCACCCCTTCCCTCGGACTTCTACCTGTACTCCACATAAGCCAGCCTATCCGATGTTAGTCCTTCGCGCCAGATTTATCTGATTATCTCTCCTCCTGTCTCCCCTCAATTCCTGCAAGTCTTACTCTAAACAAGCTGCCACGTTTGAAATTCAACTGTGAACAAATTCATGACAAAATGGAAATATCTTAGAGGTTGTGGTATATTCTCCCCTTCCAGGAATAGCTGTATTTTAAAATACAGGCGGGCCGGCTCCGTGGCTTAGCGGTTAAGTGCGCGCGCTCTGATGCTGGCGGCCCGGGTTCGGATCCCGGGAGCGCCCTGAGGCACCGCTTCTCCGTCCAACGCGAGGCCGAGTCCCACGTACAGCAACTAGAAGGATGTGAACCTATGACATACAACTGTCTACTGGGGCTTTCGGGGGAAAAAACTGAATAAATAAAATCTTTAAAATACAGGTGGTTCTTGCCTTCACTTAAAGCAAACTTTAGGAGCTGGCAAACTTTTTCAGTAAAGGGCCAGATGGTAAATATTTTAGGCTTTGTGGGCCCTACAGTCTCTGTCCCAGCTACTCAACCCTGCTGTGGTGCCGGGAAAGCAGCCTTGGTCAACACAGAAACGAATGTGTGTGGCTGCTTTCCAATAAAACTTGATTTACAAAAGGAGGTAGTAGGCTGGATTTGGCCCCTGGGCCATAGTTTGCTGATCCCAGATGGTTGGTTGCAAATGAGCTCTGAGCATGGTGCTAATGGGCTGACCCATGCTAACGCTAATGTCACAATCACAGAGGAGGGTGGCAAGCAAGGCTGCTGCATAGGGTGCACTGGGCCTTATAGCAATGGGAATTAGGAGCTTCAATAAAATGGATCAGTGCAACTCTCTCTCTACCAACAGAAACACAAGTGAGGGCTCAGGATGTAGTAACACCATTTCATTATCCCTGTTGCAATGGCCAGAATCAGTACATGTGATGCAATGAGCATGATAAAAATAAGACCAAATTGATTTTCCCTATTTACAACAGTCTCTAGCCTACCTTTGTAGGGCATCTGAGAGCGAGTCTTCAGGTACATTTTGCTGCTTCTTTTGGCTCTGACCTTCTTGATCTCATAGCCCAAGTTGTTGCAACGGTTCTTTCTGCAACTCAGGCAGAGCCCCTTCTCAAAGGTTTCCTTTGAATTGCACCGGTAGGCCTTACTTGGATTTTCTTCATTCAACAGAGAGTCAATGAAGAGATGAATTGAGCGCTCGTGGGAGCACTTCACTAGTTGGTCCACGTCTGGGGAAAAAGACACAAAGGAAATTTCAACTCTGTGAAAGTTTACAGTGAGTGTTTCATTTTGCATGTCTAAACTAGTTTAGGTATGGTGTTAGAATAAAATGACCTCAGGATCTAGTCCTATGACTCCTTGATTGTAGGTCCTATTTAAGGAAGTATTCTTGGTAGCAGTTTCTCAACTACCTCCAAGAGTTGCAAATTTATAGGGAACTTTTGACTTTTCTGCTGTCTTATATTTTTGTGTATGTTTATGAAGTTATAATAAAAGACATCCAAGGTAAAAGTTGATTTCTCCCAGTTTATCACATCCTTCTCTTATATTAAAAGCATATAATACTTCTAGATGCTTCTAGAAATATCCTTTTGGAAACCACATCATAAAGGGCATATTGTTAAATGAATAGTATTTTATCATTAATATGATATATAATTGAGGGTTGTGTCCCTACTAATTATTTTTACATTAAATAAATCATGAGAATAATCAGCAATGTCATAAGAGCGTATCTATTACGATAAGCTTTTATAGCAATTGAAAATAGTAACATTATACTGTAAGTTCTATAATGTGTGCACAAAAGGCCTGAACGTCTTGACTACAGGAAGGTCCATGCTCCACAAAGTAGGCAAAGGTCCCTTAAAACAAATCATAAATTTAACACAAGCTAATATGATTATTAAAGTAAATATTAAGCTAATATTAAACTATATTTTCTTCATAAAAATTTGGAATATTTATTGTTACAGAATGGTGATTCATTTCTGATTTGTATATCTCTTAGAAAGGCTGACAAAAGAAATTTGGACTAATTACTATGTCCTTTATTTTCAGTAAAATTCAAAATAACTCTACTGGTTTGACAACTGTATTCAAAGTATAACAACATGTGGCCAGATAACATTTTATGCTGCTGTTATGTTACTAAAGGCAGTAGGGTTTTCTTGTCTAAATATCACCTTTATTTTCTTTTATTACTGCAAGTGCAGTACCCAATGCAGTATACAATATAATACATAAAAGATAAAATGTCTGTCTCTCTGACCACAGGAGTACTAAAGCACTTCAGTGATTGTGCTGAATAAGATAGATTTCTTTAGAAACATCTTGGCTAAATGTGTATATTAAAACTACATTCTTGCAGAGAATGTATAGGACACTAAGTCAATGACAGTTAACAAAATTTATGTTTCATTAACTTCTAAATCCTATTTACCTCCAAGGCCTCTCTCTGCAATCACACGAATAGCCTCCCCAATGTTACATCCTGGTTGGAAAGTGCCTCCATTGGGGTAAATATCAACATGCCCTACTGGTTTCTGGATTCCAATACTCCGGCCAGGTGATCCTCTGGTGAATGTGTGTAAGACGTCCACAAAATCCGCATCGTCGGGGGAAAGGCGACTTGGAGCTTCTGCATACTCGAAGTTAGGTCCAGCTGGATCTAGGCCTTAATGTGGGAAAAAAAAAAGCCTCACAGATTTTTAACTTCCAATTACCTTCAGTCTCCATCAGTATCACCTTAGCATCCACTGCTCATCATCTGACTATAGCTGGCAGCCACATAGAGTCTTACTAGCCCCTATGCTATAGTGATTGGAGGGGCTATAGTGATTGGATCTTTCAATCACTGAGGGCCATAAAAGTAGGCTCAGCTCTTTCTAAAGTGGAATCTGAGTTTCTTAAACTAGCCGTTGAATAGCAATTTTCGCTCAGGATGACTTGATTTCCTTCTGTAAATTATTTCTGAACCTGATGAGAAGGCCTTTAAACAGTGTTGGGTTCTTTCTTCCTCTCTGCACATGCCAAACCATCTATTACCACTAGCCCAGAAGACTATCTTCTTTTTTCCAAATGGCCTCTCATGTCGATCCTTTTGCATTTTTCCCAGTACTGATGTGAGAGATGACATACGTGCAATAAACTACCAGAGCACGGGGTAGAGGGAGGAGGGAAATGAGCTTCTCAGAGACACTCTTAGACTCTCTGTGCTTAACTCCACTCTGTTTCTCTTCTACTGCCAGTAGATGGTAAGCCCATGAGAGCAAGGGTCTGTATTCTATCTTACTCCAGAAAAAAAGCTCTCCCATGAGATAATCAAGTGGCCAGACATACCTAGAAAAACACCACACATGTGGGTATTAGGCAAACACTCTGATTCTCTTTTCAGAATGACAGGCATCTCAACTCTTTTGTGAGAAGAAAAATGATGCTGCTTTCTTACCGGTAATTCTGTTGACCTTCTTATTGGTCAGACTTCCTGCAATGCCAGCAGCATGGGCTCCAAGGCTGTATCCCAAGAGATGGACATTGTCCAGAGGATAGTTAAATTCCTCCTTTGGAAGAGAAAAAGAAAAAGAGGTTCTTACAGTTCTTTGCGAAAAATCAAAGCTAAAATAAAATAAATATAAATATTGTTTTCAAAATATAGGCAACACTGAAAATTAATTCTACTTATTTTAATTTTGTATTACGGATAAGAGAAACATATATTCTAGTGTTGAGATATTCTTTTTCCTTAACAACATATTTAAATTAGACAGTTTTTACATATATCTGAAATTGAAATGTATGGAAATATGAATTGCCATATATCTGAAAATATGTGTCTGCATTTATATGTATCTGTGTATGTATTTATTTATATACAGATATACGTATATGTGTCTATCTACATACACACACACACATAAAAATATATATTTAACTTTAACCCATTATTCCCTACTCTAAATACCCTGCATCACTTTATTCTTTAAGGTTTGCCAAGCAATGACTTAAAATTAGAAAATATTCTAGGGGGAAGGGACCACAGACACATATGGTCCAGTCTCCTCGTACAGCAGATGAGAAGCCTGAGGCCCAGGGAAGTGATCTGATTTGCCCAAGTTGACTCTCCTGGTTAGCAAAAGAGTCAACAAAAGAACTTTCATCTTTTAATGGTCAGTCCAATAAACACAGCTTATTTTTTATCTTCAAGTATCTGGTTTAAATAATTAGGCCCTGTCAGAGTATCAGCTTTCTTTCAATCTCAAGATACTTTTCAAAGGTAATTTTCAGAGGATGACCTCAGAGAGTCAAACTGGGTAAAACTGGCAGCTAAATCAGACTCCCGACCCTCAGCCACCTCATATCCTACAGACTTGCCCTGCCATTTTCTTTCTAGCTCTGGATCCTTAATCCACACTAAGGAATAAGTACTATTAATATTGTCATCAAAGAGATTAGTATTCTAATGGGTCAAAGCCAGGATGAAATTTCCATGTGCCAGCCAACTGGTAGGGAACCTGACGTCTTCCCTCTGCCCTGAAAGAACAACTTTTGTCTGTTCTGCTCACTTAGTTCTTGGTCTCAGCAGATCTATTCACTATGAAAATATCAAAGAACAGGGCAGGGCAGGACTGTGCTTTGGCTTTATGGCTTTACCACTCTTATCCTAATGCTGCTTTTGGCTTAAAAATAATGCCCATGGTCATTCTGAAGATTTGAATGCCCCAGAAAATATATATATTTAAGTGAAAAGGCACAAAGACCAGTCATTTGTCCAGCTCCAGCCAAGAGGCCTGTTTTGGACACCCAAGTCTTCTCCCCGAGTCTTACCGCCATCCAGTTGATAAACCTGGCCACATCCTTTCCCACCAGCTTGGTGTATCCCGCAGACACTGGATAATGCTGCTGGGCCCGTGACAGCCAATCCACCACAATGACGTTGGAGTCTGGTTCCCTCTTGTACAGAGCAGCCACAAGTTTTGGCACCCAACTCTCATACATTCCTGTTACCTGAAGAGGATGATACAAGCTTTCTTAAAATACCCACTACAACTTGTAATAGATATGTCAGCCCAAAACATCCACATTAAATGGAAAAAAACAAACCCACAAGGAAGCCCACTGGCTCAGACAGAAAAGTCAAACCACGCAAGAGTGTTCAGAGACCTGTGCGCACCCTTCCGAGGCCAACGTGCGTCTCTCAGAGAAGGGATGTATTGAGCTCAGGAACAGCAGACTGGGGTTTACCACGCTTTCAATTTTAAAAGCACATTTTATAAAGTCAGTAAAACTTCAATAATCTATAGTATTAAAAGAAAAGATAAATCTGAATAAGTTAAAATTTTGCAGCAGAATTACAGACTATTTTAAAAGAAATTTAGTTTAATTGCTTTCATTTAGGCTAATAAGTGTTTCCCAATAGAATTAATTTGGGGGATGTAATGCACTTCCTTTTCTTATGAAGAGTCATTTACATACAACATTTGATGTGCTAAGGAAAAAAACAGTTTTAAACATACAAATCTATCCAACCAGAAGGTAAATTTGTTTAGCAATCTCTTTCTAAATATGTAAGAAAATAATCGGCTTCAGCTCAGACTTTTTCACAATTCTCTCAAATTGTTAATTATCAGAGTGGAAATTAATGATGTTTAGTAGTCACATTTCTAAATTATTAGATTGATCCTGTTTGGAAATAAGCAGACTACCAACTGTAATTCTTTGCTTCTTGTCAATAAAGGCCCCAAAATTCAAAGTCAAAAGAACTATGGGGTCCTTAACTCTATTTACGAAGAATTTTAATTTATGCTTTCAGAGAGAAGACACTGGACACTTTTGCAAAGATGTACACTTTAAAACAAACACATTAGAAATTGCAGATTATAAAATTCTACACCATCCTGCCATGAGCTTGTACATAGCAACAACCTGATTTAAATCCTCAAATCTACCCACCGCTACTATGACAGCAGATCATATTGTAGCCACAGTAAATGTTGCTAAACTATATACTCAACAAAGAAGATTCTGAAATCCATGTTTAAGGCAGATTTTAAGGGGAGACCTGTAAAACCTATATTTTTCTTAGACTAATTCCAACATAAAAAATAGGAGCCTTGAATTCCCAAACCAAGGGACTTCATTTGGAACTTTGATTTCATCTGGTGGGTTCTTTCACATTTATGCTTCCATTTTATTTAGTCTGTTTTCTGGACTAAAACTATCAAAACACAAGCTCTTGCTTCACTCCTGACACCAACAAACTGCCAATTTTTCAGCACATTGCTGTGCTTTGTGTAGGAAAAAGCAAGCCTGGGCCTCAGGAGATCCTGGTCCCAGTCCCAGCTCTTCCACTGACAACTTCTATGAGCACAGGTAGGGTTTGAACCTTATAGGCCACCTACAAACAAAGGGGTCGAATTCAGATGATCTTGAAGTCACCCTCCACTTCACAAATTTCTTCTTGTTACCATTCTTGTTCCCAATCTACTTGCAGTGATAAAATGCGAGCTCTATAGCTATTTCAAGCGTGAAGAGAAAACAAAGAAGAAAAAGTACAAAAGTGATGTTAGCTCATTAGGAACTTATTTAAAACTTCTTTGAACATGTCTCAGTGAGGCTGCTTCAAGTCTGGGTGCAGCCTGGGTCTTTGTGGCAACCACCCGGAACGTACACCTAGCACAAAACCCTGAGGAATTGGTCCTGCCCCCTTTTCATCTCTTGGAGATTGGGGGCTGGCCATGCTTTGCAGCTCCCAGTCAGGAGAGGATGATGTCATTTCTTCAGAATGCCATGTTAATCACTCCTCCTTTTAACCAGGGGTGAGGACCTCCTATATCACGATGAGAACCCTGTGCTTCAAGCCCTGATCTGTGAAAACCAACCAGGTGGCCAAGCCCCAGGACAGCTGTGTCCCGGCTGCCTTCTGGGATGCACCCTACGCACACATGCTAGACATTCTTTTGGGTTTCTCATGACAAAGCTACAGAACCTCCTCACTTCCATTGGTCCTATGCCCTTGAGTCTCTGAGAAGCTTACCTCAGATAAAGCAGGAAAATCTTGTTTTGTCTAAGCTCCTATTATAAATTTTTCTGTACTATCAATGTTTCCAAGTTAGGCAATCTGTCAAAGGGCAAATAACCCAACTTACTCCTACAGCGACAGATACTTTCATTAACTGCCTAACAACTAATCTAATCCTTTCTTTTTTAATTCAACATAAAATACTGCTGTAAATAATCCCAAACGAAAGAGTGGAAAGTCCAAGTACCTACCTTCTTCAACTCTGAAAAGGTATTATTAACTAGGTTTTCCTTCTGAGGTTCCTTAAATTAGTACCAATTATAGAAATCTTTGATTCTCAGACACACAGCTGAACTGAAGCCTTCCTTGCCACCTGCACCAACCAGTGGCCTGACTGAACCAGACAAGGAATTCACTGAGATAGACTGCGCTCAGTTATCTAGTGTGGCTGGATTAGTTATAACTGACACACAGCATTAGTTATATGCTAATAAAATAACTCAGGTGAGTTGTTAGCTACAGACCCGCCAGCACTGTAAGGTGGAGCTCAGCCCCAGCAGCAGCCTGGCCTCTGAGCCTCGGCGCTCCAAGTGCCAGGGCACGTGGCGTGAGGAACACAAGCAGGCTCAGTGGGCATGAGGACCACTGATATCAATTGGCAGCATCTACTGATACTGGGTTAGTCGTGTCATCTTAGTACGAGAAGAAAAAATGTTTTTCAAAAATTCCGAAAATATAAAATTCTCTCAGGGATAAGATCGAGATGCCTGAGATATTCAATTTATTCCTGTCATATAAATGTTTATTAAGCTTAAACTTTTTTGAAAAGTATTAAAAGCCAAGTTCTATATACAACCAAAATATCTCTAAAGCCACCAAACATTACTTTTTCCTATTTAAACTTCTTAAAACATGAAAAGATTTATGTGAGGAATTTGAATATGTGATTTTATCATAAGATATGTAATTTACTATGTTAACTCTAGTAAATATGTGTTTTTTATTAAAATAAACATCCATGTGAATTTTGTTAGTAGTTACCTTCATTTCCATAAAAGTTATACCAATTGTCCTATTTGTCAATCACAAAGGCACTTAAGTTACGGAGGAAAAGAAATCGGGACTAGAAGTATACCAATCACTAGCTAATGCATCTCATTAGAATTGAGTATCTATTACCATATTCATAAGCTCTGACATAATGGAAAGATAACATCTATTTTATGTAACATCCTTTTTAATAAACAATGAAATTGTATTAGGGATTGAAAATATTAAAAAGAGTCAAGTAAGAAGTGCACTGTGTAAACAGGCCATTTGACATGGTTAGAAAGGACCACTTCACTCATACGCTTGAAAAGTCACTGTAACCACAGTTTTCACCTGGTCTAAGCATCTCGCATGACAGCTCCCTGGCTCGCCCTCTTTCATCCCTAGAAAAGCTCCTTAAAGTTTACAAATGGAGAATGCTGGAAGTGGAGGGATGTCTATCTAACCTCTTTGTTTTACAGATCAGTAAACTGAGGCCCAGAGGTGAGAAGTGGCTTGATCCACATCACAGAGCTGGAGGACAGCAAAGCCAGAACCAGAACCAGCAGCTCCTCCCTGCGCTCCAGCCCTTTCCTCACTCTTACAGGATGTCTTCCTTAGGAAAGGAACTTGGGCGATGTGCTGGATGCATCAGGATCATGCCAGGTTTCCACTGGTTCCCCAAAATGATAACCTACATTCTGCTCTGTAGGTAGTTGAGCAGAGCTTGTTTTGCCCTCACAGGAATGGCTGGCTCGAGGACACCAGCCAGGTACCCTGGTGAAATGAAGGTCGGCGCTGTCTGGGGGAAGTACTCATGAACCTGTGACTTTAGATCCCACAATCCCCATCCCGAGCCAGAACTGCTTTACTGAAGTTTAAAGCAAAGCCATCGGAGAGACCTATCATTGGGGTCCCAACAACTAGGGAAAGTGGTCAGAATGCCTGGTCCACCCCAATCTGCTCCTTCCTAAAGGGCCTCTCTTACCGTCCAGCCATGGATCACCACAAAGGTTTTGCTGCTGTGGTTGAAGTGGCAGTTAGCCACAGATTCTGTCTCTCCGGGAATGAGGTGGCAAGTGTCCTCAGCTGTGTCTTCAGGGGTCCTTAGAGCAAATTTACTTTCAATGTCTGTAAAACCTCTTCCTTCTATAATTCCTGAAAGGGAAAAATTGGATAGGAGGTTAATTGGAGGATTGTTTATTTGCTGGAATAGTATGTTTTAGGTTCACAAGCAACCATCATCAATGCTATTTCAGTTTCTAAAGTTTTTTTAAAAAATGAATGTGGATTGCAAGAGAATGACTGATCCTCCAGTGGTGATCAAAGTTGACAGAGATGACTAAAACAACTGTGAGTTAAGCAATATTAACCTCTCCAGTGCCTTCCATCCTCTCCTTCAGCTCTCCTTCAGTCAGCGTGTGTGTGTGTGTGTGTGTGTGTTTGGTGCGTACACAATTTCAAGTAAATGAACTGCTATTTGGAAATTCCCTGGTTAATTTAATCTTAACTCAAGACATGAATTTAAGTGAGTTGGCCAAGGTTAAGCTGCTAATAGTGGGAGAGAGAGTAGGGACCAGAGCCGACGTTTCTTGGTTCCAGTTCAAAGCTCATTCTCAAGAACATTGGCTCATGGCTCTTACATTGTATAGATCCACTTATTTCATACATCATTTCACCCTCTTTAAGTCTCTGATTAAGAAATGTTTTCCCACAATATGATACAATAAGGCTTGTTTGAGAGAAAGTTGTTTGTTTTTCACTAGCATAATTTTTTAAAACGTTAGCAATGAGAAAAGTTGGAAGCGCGAGGAAACTTTTGTATGAAATGACTCTCACCCTCGTGGCAAGAAAGATCAGTTCAAAATGTTTAAAAAAATCATTTAGTGGGTTGTTCAGAAATACCCGTGCTATGGTGTGGTTAACTCTTTCCTCAAATATTTCTTTTCCCACTTATGTTTTTACAGTCTTCCACTCAAAGTCAAAGCTTAAAAAACTACAGCAAAGCTGGTTTTGGAAAGAATACACTTTGGTTCTTCATAGCCAATCACAAAGTGAGTAAGGAAAGAAAGAGAACTTTGGCCCATTTTTTGACTCTCTGGACAATAAATCTAAATGTTGCTAAATCTTCCCAGGGTATTTGCAGGCAGTACATATAACATCATAGTGAACACTTGAAGTAAATTCTTTTGCAAATAAAATCACTGTTTTACAAAGCAAACACAGTCAAAGGGAAGTTATATTAGGGGAAATTATTTAATTTCTTGTCAAGTAAAAAAAGCCAAAAAATCTATCTATTCCCCTTAGAAAGGTAATAACTTATAGATTTTAGATTTCACTATTTAAAACTTTCAGAAGAGAAATAACTGAGGTTGCTTAAAAATACTTCTAATTTCTTAATCTAAAATAATTAAAGAGAGTAATTTCTTACTCTCTTTTCACAACTCAAAAGTTGAAAATATGTAATTTCAAATAACATTGCAAAAGTCAGGCCAAAAATAAAAATAAGAATGATACAGTACTGTGAAAGTACAGGAGAACAAGGCTTATATAATTATCTGAGACCTGACCAACAATTTTCTTTTTAATTATTTTCCAAAATTCCTTAAACAGTATTGTGGTTACTTGTTAAGTGATTCATTATACGCAACAAGTTGATCACACACACAAATCTCCAGCACTTAAACATTCTAAGATAATTTATCCAAATAAGACACTATGGTTAACTACTGATATTTAAAGTTTTTTTCATTTCCGTAAAGTAAAATTGCACTTGAAATCCATTTGTCCATCAAGAATACTGTTCTGCCTCTCATCTTATTTGAAGATGTAGGGCTTCCTTTTCTTTCGTAAGCAGAAAGTACTCTGGTGGCCTTATTATTTATCTGATAGTAGAAAAAAATACTGTAGATTTTTAATCTGATTCTGCTTTCAATGCCCAAGAAGTTCTGTTATTATTAGAAAGTGCTTTAGAAAATTTAAAACTAAATTAGTTTCACCCTCTCTCATGTCTCTCCACATCAAAGAACTCATGCCTCCTCTCTAACAATCTTATTTTAACACGTTCAATTAGCAATCTTTTTAAAGCAGAAATAATCTGAACAGCCTGGCACACAGATCTTGCCTACTACCTCTCTGCCAAATCGGTATTTAAGACTATTGCCTTGCACAACTCCAAAGGATGCCACTCACTTTTAGTCTATTTTTCCCTAGAATTATGCAACACTGTGGCCCTGGCGTTGCTGATGGCTTTGAAATGACTAAGAATATTCTTTGAAATTATTAAGACTGGTTTGTATATTTACACACACACACAAAGTTTATTCAATCCATAGATCCTGTATCAGATTATCTGTATAGCTCATTGAGAGCTCCAATTCCCCACAACCAACATTTTCTGTTGGGTACATGGCTTGTAAAGAAAAAATAACAGGAAATTCACACATTCTCAAGCAAATTTGTATTTGGAGACTTTTATTTCATTTTTAAAGAAAATTATTTTTCATTTTAAGTTACAGAAAGCATAATGAAGCCTTTGACAGGATAAGAGTACCACTCTATATGCTATGATGTTTTCAATTCTATGTCAGTTCTATATCTGAAATCATACATGTTATTGGTGCATAGTCTTTCCTTCTCTTTGGCGTTCTGATGGGAATTTTCACACTTCTGGTGTTTGCAACCCCTCAAGGATGTCTCAGCATCCTAAAGATGAATGTGCTTCCCGAACCTCTATCAGCCCTCACACGAGTGACTTAGCCATGTAGAGACGGGGAGATAGATGGACCTGACTGTGGGTCAGTCAGTACCTTTATGTGTCCCAGTATACACTGAGATTGCTCCTGGCTTGAGGATGAACTCATTTGACTCCATTGTTAGTGACTCTGCACTTACCCTTTTAAGGGGATATGGATCTTTTACCCACTGCCCTTAGAAATTAAAGCCACCTTATAATAATGAAAAAAAAAGTGCCTAAGATGTATTCCTTCTAAAGGATTTTTACCTTGAATTTGGCTTATCAAGAACCACCACGCCAACCTGGCCCCATTGGACATATCCTTATTAAACACTAAGACAAGATTTTGGGGCACCAGGCAAGTTACACGTTAATGGATTTCTCGACTATGTAATCTTTATTCCTAAATAAATAGCTAAAAATCTAAGTGTGTGAAGACAAGGAACTTATCTTAATGTGAGTAATAACTCACAGAGATGAAATTAGCCTGAGAAATCAAAGCACTTTAAAGGTAAATTTATGGAGAGTACATAATTGTAGCTAGAAAAGGAGAAGCATTGAGCATCCCAGGAAATATACTCTAAAGGCAGTTCACAGTCATCAGATGAATACGATTAACATTTATATGAAGACATGAGGTACAAGAGCTCAATTATAATGCAATTCTCTTTGAAGTTTCTACTTCCTTCCTCTCTCCCTCCCTCCGTCCCTCTCTTTCTCTCTCGCTTCCTCTCTTTCCCTCTCTCTCTCACACGCACACAAACACACTCCTAAGAGACTTCATCAGTAATTTATCTCCTCTCTGAGACTGATGGCCATAGTTATTGGCTCAGGCAGCTTTTGCAGAATGACAAAAAACAAGTTGAATATTTTGCTATATGACTGAATTGATTGGTCCTTTCACATATTTCAATTTAGACAATGCTCTTGACTTACCTAACAGTTTCATTTTTATAGAAAAAAATGTTTCTAAACATAGAGGCAGTATACTATTGTGGGAGATCAAAAATTGGCCACCCTGAAATATGTCTCTTTACCTTGACTATTTTCTCTGATGGACATTAGACCTCCCCCACTAACTACCTAAAGGAATTTAACTCTGGGTATGGACAGACTGGCAGGGTCCTCGCTAAGCCCATTCTTTTCAAAGTTCTGTTTACCAAATACTTACATTTGTAAAGGTATCTCCCTCTGTGTACTGGGAAGAGGGGGAGATGGCCTTATCTGTAGAAACTGTTATCAGTATGGAAGGGGAGGACTTAAATCTACATACTCTTGATTACTGTGATTTCTGTCTCTCGGACACATTCTCTACGGGTGGCCCTATAAAGAACTGTCTGACAAACATTTACGTTTCCCTCTCCATGTAAATTGTCTTCTTCCCCTCTGAAATTCCAAACCATTACCTCCCCCAACATCCTCCTTTGTCTTTAGCTGAAGATAACATTTAACATGAGAATCTCTGCCATTTTGTTGAGAAACTCAGTTTCCCTGGTTTCTCCCATGTATCCACATTATTAAACTTGGTATTATTTTCTCCTGCTAACCTGTCTTTTAATTATTTGGCCAGCCATAAGAACCTTAAGGGAAAGGGTTGAGGGGGATTCTCTGTCTTCCCCGACACTATATAGCCCAATTTCTCCTCCCAGAATAAAGCGAAAAAGGAGGGCTGAGCTAAAAATACACTGCCTGAAAGAAAGTGACAATTTTCCATTGTAACTGTTCCCCAGTGCTTGACTCCCACCTTTCAATACAGCTATTAATCAATCATTCTCTTGCTGAGCTCTGCTCCATTCACAAATGGTATCTGCTATTTTGCTGTCATCACTCATTATATATAACTCAGATGTTAGCCTGGAAATTCACTGCGGCCAGTCAAATGGAACTGCAGCTACTGGGCACTGACTCATGCTCCTCTTCTAGCTCTTCAAGTTTCCTAATGAGGCCATGCAGAGACTGTGGTGGCTCCAAGAACAAAGAGCCTGAGGGCAGTGCCTTATATCCTTATGTTCTTCTTAGAAAGAAATGGAGAATGAATAAGTCAGAGCCCAGAGGAGGAGCTGCTTACCATTCCCTCACAATTGTGCCTTTCTGCTCTGAAATTCTTACATTCCTAGATGAATGCATTTGGAGGAGAAAAGGGGCAGAAAGTCGCAGTGATGAGAGAGGCATGCTATAAGGGGGGAGTAGGGGTGAAGTGCGAGTGGGAGGGAAAGATGAGAGGGATTAATTTCAAGTCTACTTAAAAATGTTTCCTCCTTGAATACATTTACAACAAGGAAAAGCTTAAAATCCAATTTAATTCATTAATTAATCCAATTTAATTCGTTAATCACTTAAGGGTCCATTTAAATCAAAGAGTAAGAATTGGAGGGGCCTAAGAGAACTTTCAGTTTGGTCCAAACTCCTCATTTAGATTTGAGGCAGCTAAACCAGAGAGGTGACACTGATGAGCCCAGGCATTGAAGGTCGTGACTCTCTAAGAGAGCCTAGCAAAAACTTAAACCGTGGATGACACATATTTGTGTGTGTTTTATGGTAAAGGTAACATTGTCCTGTGGTGTACTTTCTGAAATAAGAATTCGTAGCCTGTTTCTACCCTCTTCTTGGACAGTGTTACACACTATTGAGGGGACCATGCCACTACGTAAGACGTTTCAGACTCTCTAATTGAACCTCCAGTATTCTCAAACTGATCTAAGAGAAAAGATATTTGTCTTTTTACCCAGTTCAGCTTTGATGGAATCAATATTTTTTTTAACCTAACAAAACTGTTCTTTCACAAGTCAGTACTGAAATAAAAGAAACTCTCAGCTGCAACGTCTTGGGCAAACTCGACCATAACTAGAATCACTGAGAACTTGGCCCCTGAAAGCACATCCAAGCGACTGCGCCCTAAGTGCAATTCCACCTTATGACTTGCTTCAGTTGCCTTTTTAGTTGCTGTTGTGTGTTAGCTGAGCGAATGTTCACGTTACGCAGGATGCCTCTATTGTGGACAGGTCTGAGCCTGGACGCTCGTCTTCCTTGCAATAAAGAAATTCACTCTGGCCTCGAAGGTCTGAACCCTGGCGAGCCGGTGGGGCCCGGCAGTCACTGGGGTTCAGTCCGCGGCCTCCCCACGGCGCCCACAAGGCCCACGTGCTCGCGACCGCACGTGGGGCTGGGCGGCCGGAAGGCGTGGTTCAGCTCAGAGGGCAGTGAGGGCGGCCAAGTGCAAACCTGGCAGTCCTCAAGTCAGCGACAGAAGACTGCTGGTCGCTGTGCCACGTTTTCAGAAGGGTCAATCCTTCGCTAGGTTTTCTGGGCGCGAAGAAAAGCCGAGCGTGCAAGAGTGGAAGCTTGGAGAGCTTCCCCGGCGCCCGAGCGCGTGCAGGATCCTGCGTCCCCAGGACTCTGCACCACGCGTCCCTCGTTCCCCACCCCGACTTCGACGCGGAGAGCGAGTGTGTCCTGTGCTTCTAAGACGCGGATGATGCCTTCCCCCCGCCCCGGGCCGGCTTCTCCAGGAGAAGGAGCTCTCTCTGCCAGAGTTCCCACAGGCGGAGGCTGAGCCGCGGCCAAGTCAGGGTCACCTTGGCCCGCGTGCCTTTCATTCCAGCCTTTCCCCCCTGCTTTCTCCGAGTGGGGAGGTTACTGCGGGTCACCGCCAACTGAGCCCTCCCTCTCTCCTCCCTCGTCCCGCCCTTCCCAGCTGAGCCCCGGCGCCCGGGAACTCGGCCTCAGCTAGAGTGGAGGGCAGAGCGTGGGAACCGCGGGAGAGAAAAAGCGGGAACTGGGAACCGCCCCAGAGAGATCGGAGGGAGAATTCTCTCCCTGCCGCTCCGGAAACCCACCCCAGTGACCTTTCTGGGGGCCGGCGCTCGGGCTAAGAGACTCTTCGATGAGCATCCGCAACCCCTACCGACGTCGTCCTTCCCATCCTCACAACCTGTGGAGGTTGCCACTGAGCAGAGTCTGCAGATGGAGAGGAGTCTGCGCGCAAAACTTACTGTCGGCGGCGGCCACCCCTCCGCGGGAGGCGATCAGACTCTGGAGCCACACGCCCAGAGCCACCAGGAGCAGTGCTTTGCTCTCCATCTCGGGGCACGTCCTGCTGTAGGAGCTACACAACACCGTCGGGAGCGTGGACAGACTGACTGATGAACCGGCTGAGCCCGAGGCAGGAGCGGGCTGGAGCCGCGCTCCGGCGTGGGGCAAGTCGCTCTTCAAAGGGGAGGGCAGAGCTGCTAGAAGTGGCAGGTTTCCTCAGAGGAGGAGGAGGAGGAATTGAGTCTGACACTGTTTCCACAGCACAGCTGCTTATGTGACTGGAAATATGCAAATAAACCTCATCACCTATTGGCTATAAAATCATAAGTTGAGGGGAGGGCCCTAAATTCACTTCCAAATATTTGAGCAAACTGTAATTCCGATTAATCCTGCCAGAGAGAAGAGGGGGAAAGGGCACAAGGGAAAATTTGCTTTCTCTGTGAACTTCCTATTTGCTTTTCTTAAGGGGTCTGGCTCTCTGAATCCCCCTGTACAAGCACCAAACACAGGTTTATATGGAATTCTGTTAAATACTCTGCAATCACCAGTTTTCTGAGGAGGGCAAGTTAAGCTGTTAAACTACATTTGGTCAATACTTAAACCCATTCCTATGTGATAGATCCTGTTTGTAACTTGCAGTGTTATTTTTCCCCCACATTCTCCTAGACAATGTCACTTTCAGGGCCACAGGCAGACACTGTTGTTCAGATTGTGCTCGCACAATCTGGTGTTTAACACTGGCCCGTGGATTAGCGGATTCGGTGGAGAAAAGCCTTCTTGCTCTAATTCCTAATTTTTGCCTTGTGCAAATTATACCCAATCCTAAAACACATCAAGGAATGTAGGGATAACATTTTATCCTCAGAGGCAGAATATTGAGGTCAAATAATCTAAAACTATATTGTTATGCTAAGTGAAAGAAGCCAGTCACAAAAGACATATTGTATGATTCCATATATATAAAATATCCACAAATTGGCAAATCTCAGAGACAGAAAGTAGATTAGTGGTTGCCTGGAGCTAGAGAATAGAGAAGGAGGAGAATGGAGAAGTTATGGGGGGATGGTGATGAAAATGTTCTAAAATTAGGTTATGGTGATGGTTGTACAACTGGATAAATATACTAAAATACACTTTAAATGGTTAACTTTATGGTGTGTAAGTTATATCTTAATAAAGCTATTAAAAACATGTATTGAGGTATGCAAGTAGAATAATAATAAGAATAATGAAATCACATTGGATATTGCATTTTTTTGCCCAAATCCTCAGAATGCTTTCAAATTATCTTTTTAAACATAAAAGATTTACATTAGCCAAGGAGGACAATTAACTCTATACTCTCCAATTTACATCTGAGAACAGGCTCATAAATCTTTTGATTTATTGGATTATTTCTCTGAATATCTTTAATGCTTCCTTCTCCTCATCCTTCCCTCTCTCTTTCTCTATCTCTCACACACACAATCTACATTTGTATGTTAGGAGACTGAAAAGCCATACAATTTAAACTAGGCTCACATTTTAAGTTTTTCTCAAAAATGAAATACACCTGTTAATACCCAAATAATTCAAAGTCTGTTATTCTGTAGAATAGAGTTCTGTCTTTAAGTTGGTGCATTATATGCCACAACACAATATATAGTCTTGTATTGCAATTATTAAATACATTGTGCACATTCATTGTATCTTACATAGCATGTAGAAGAATTTTAAAACTTGCCAAGAATTAACCCCCTCAGAAAAACTTTAGAAGTGGTAGAGCAGACCATGCAGGGGATGAGTAACTACAACGTGGCAGTCTCCCAAAAATTATATAGTAAATTCTAATTTTAAAAAATGACACAAGATGAGTACAATTGCATTGCATGTGCTCAAAACATAGATGACAAACAAAAGTGCCTACTATCTTGTATAGAATACTTATGCAGCCTAGTTTTACACATAAATATCATTTACTAAGACAACCAAACAAACCTGCACTTCTGTGCCTCCCAGGGAACTGCAAGAAGATTTTACGTTGATTGCTCAAGGGGTGTTTGATGTGCATAACGTATGTTTAAAATGATTCCTCAGGTTAACACATAACAAAACCAAAGCAATCAAAAGTTAGAGTAATTCTTTTTTTTTTCATTTGAAACCCGTTTTGTAGTGGCTTGTCCTGTTACACTGCATGTCATTAGAGTTGCAGAGATTTCCAGGAAGAATTAACTCGTAGCAGCTTAGCCTGATAGAAAAGCAGACAAGTTGCCTCCAATCCCAGAGACAAGTGGCAAGTGGGTGTGATGGCAGTGCGCTCTCCTGATTGGCTGCTCTCAGAGTGATCAGCTGCCTGTGCTCTCCTGCAGAGACTCACAGGATCTCCAAGTCCTGACTGCGTGTGCGTTCGCAAAGTGCCTGGTCCAAACTTCAGCAACGCTGTTTGATCACTGATAGCTTGAGGCATGACTTTTTCCATAATTGACCTTCCCTTTGCAACAGTCCTAAGAAGCTTCACATTAAAAGAAGCTAAGCCTTTTATAAATATTTAACAACCCAGCGCTCTTTTGGCAGGACACTTGCTCCTGGTGTAAATTTAGTATGATGTAAGTAAAAAGTTAAATGGGCATACCTGAAGAGATGACCAGAAACTCCAAAACTCCACATGTAGGGAAGTTCGATCGATCGATCGATCGATCGATCAATCTACCTACCTACCTACCTATCTATCTATCATCTATCTATCTATCTATCTATCTATCATCTATCTATCATTTTGAATTAAGGCCTGCTATTTGCACACACTGGACATTTTTCAACACTTTCTGCATTTAATCATTACAAAAACACCCCAAACTTAATAATATTCCTGTTGTACAGATGAGGGAAGATGAAACTCAAGGAAAACTAAATAACAGTAACCACATATCATAAAGCATTTTTTCCTTTGGCGATCCCAAGAAAGAAGGAAAATGTATTTGATATGTTATATTTTAATGTTACTGTAATTTCAAACCAGAAAAGACTGGGAAACAGATGTTTTTGTAGATGTGTAGTTTAATGCACATTTTATTTTGTGGCTTTTTTGCTAAATTAAAATATGATGAAATGTCTAAGTGGGCTCTAGAAGAGCATCAGTACTGAAGTGGATCTGGTCTCCATCACAAAAATTACATTTAATGCAGAAAAGAAAGCATGGCTAATACAAATAAAATTTACAAATACGAAATCATAAATATAAAAAGTATTTAAAAATCTATTGACTTTTGATAAGAAAAAAACAAAACAAAGGTGTATACTAAAAATTGCCATAAAAGACTTTTTCGCCGCTATCCACCCATATCCCAGCAGTAAATTGTAGGCAGGGAGGAGCACAAGCTGCCTCTGAACAGAGATGGTGAGTGACAGTGAGGGTGACAATGAGGTTGAAGTTAAAGGTCTGGGATCTGGTGCCTGATGCTGGAGCTCTCCTACCCAGCAGCTGACAAGTGGAGATGCTGGTATTTTATTCATTACCTACCAATGCTATGCTCAAGAAGTTCCAAGTAGCAATTCAAGGGCAGATTAAATTTAGACAGAATATAGCTCTCCATTGGTAAAGTTGAGTGTTGTGTTCTATAAAGTTGAAGTACAAATAAATATTATATTTAGCCAATTTGCTACTATTGCCTTCCTCCACCAGGTATGAATACAGGGATCAGGCTGACTTTCTTTGCTTTGAGGGTGAAGGAAATGTGGGGTGTGGAAAGAATTGCTTCAGATGGTAAAAGTGTGGTATTAAATAATCCAGATACATTTTAAGGATTTTAATTTCCTTTAGTTGGGGATATTCATTCCCTCCCCTCTCCCAAAAACAAAACAAAAAACAAAGAGAAATAAAGAAATCATATTTTAATATCTGCATTAAAAGATTGTCTAAATAGGACCTGGCCTGGTGACACAGCGGTTACGTGCACTCAATCCACTTTGGTGGCCCGGGGTTCGCAGGTTCAGATCCCAGATGCACAGCTTGTCAAGCCATGCTGTGGTGGCGTCCCATATAAAGTAGAGGAAGATGGGCATGGATGTTAACTCAGGGGCAGTCTTCCTCAGCAAAAAGAGGAGGACTGGCATAGGATGTTAGCTCAGGGCTGATATTCCTCACAAAAAAAAACAAAAAACAAAAAAAAAACGATTGTCTAAATAAAATTAAGAAGAGAAATAAAAGATAATTTTAAAAAAGAGAATAATAATAATAATAATAAAAAAACCCCAATGAATTACAATGACATGTCCTTGAACAAGGGTTTATGGTGAGGGAGACATGTCAGAACACACCAGAGAGACACATGCTGTCACAGACAAACTGCAACAGGCTGAAGGGGAGAAGGATGTAGGCCTTTCATAGAGGACAGCTCACAAAACCTAAAAACAATATCCCACAAATAACACACTGGATTTATAATCTATGTTCATTTATAGGTAGGTTTTCTTTCCGTTTCTAAAATAAAACCAAAAGACCCCCCAAAACTTAAGTCCATGAAGGAAATCAAAGGAGACTTTCTATGAGACCTAGTTAATTACTTAAATATGCAAGACTGCAAATGTTTTTCCCTGAGGGCTTCACATTTTGAGATAACTTCAGACAAAACATCAAAGCCCTAGGCTAAAAATGAGCTGAGCTGGACTCAGCACGGATGTGTCTGAAGTGCCCCCTGCTGACTTCCTGGTGATACTGTAACATCTCAAAAAAGCCATTTTAAGAGGCTTGAAACAGAATTGACTCAGGTAATCACTAAGCTCTTGTATTTGAGTTTTTCTTGTTTCTTTTGTTGTTATATGTAATGTGAAGGAAGGTATTACTCTTCTCTCCTCTGTGGTACTTCCCACAGCATCAAACTGTGCTGGGAAGTGAGGAGGCACTTAGCTGATAGCTGTTGGGTCAATTAATAATTTCAAGTAAAAGATGATCCAATGCTAAATGGGTGAGAAAGCAAGATTATTTTAATTTTAAATTTTCACTAGATTTAGTAATCATGAAACTTGAACACAGACCACAAACAAACACACATGTGCATGTGCACACACACATACATCCTCCTTGCCATAATCTAGTCTAGTCAGGCCAAATCTATCTGGGATAGGGAAATGGAGGACAGCTTCATTTGGCTGGGGCTTTTTGCTGGTCTCTTATTATTTCTCTTCTTCCTTTCAATTAACTCTTTATAAAAAAGTAATATACTCTTGGGGCAGGACCGTGG